GTTATTTTAATTTTTATATTTATATCTTTTTTTAAAGATTTTATTTACTCATTTGACAGAGAGAGAGATCACAAGTAGGCAGAGAGGCAGGCAGAGAGAGGGGGAAGCAGGCTCCCCACTGAGCAGAGAGCCCGATGCGGGGCTCAATCCCAGGACCCTGAGATCATGACCTGAGCCGAAGGCAGAGGCTTAATCCACTGAGCCACCCAGGCACCCCTGTATGTGTATCTTTAATTCATCTGTAGTAACTGTCTTTTTTTCATTGATTTTTGGTTTTACTTTTATCATTCTACTAAATTTGTGTGTATACTTAGATCTATCTCTGAACTTACTATTTTTCTTCCTTTGGTCTCTTTTCTTCCTTTGGTCTCTTTCAATTATTTTTTTAAAAGATTTTATTTATTCATTTGACAGAGAGCATAAACAGGGGGAGCAGCAGGCAGTGGGAGAGGGAGAAGCAGGCCCCCCACTGAGCAGAGAGCCTGATGTGAGCCTCAATCCCAGGATCATGACCTGAGCCAAAGGTAGATACTTAACTGATGAGCTACCCAGGTGACCCTATACCCCACTATTTTTAAAAACATGACCTTAAAGGGGAGCTCTTGGTGGCTCAGTGAATTAAGCATCTGCCTTCAGCTCAGGTCATGATCTCAGGGTCCTGGGATTGAGTTCTGCTTTGGGAATCCCTGCTCAGTGGGGAGTCTGCTTCTCCCTCTCTCTCTGCCCCCTCCCTGCTTGTGTACGCTCTTTCTCTCTCAAAAAATAAAATCGTGTGTGTGTACACACACACACACACACACACACACACACATGACTTTATAGGATATCTTGATATCTGATAAGGCATATTCCCTTCTAACTTTCATTTTTTAAGATTGACTTAGCTATTAGATCTTTATTTGCTCATATACATTTTTATAATTCACAAATACTGATAGTTTGGTTTTTGTTTGTTTTGAGAGTGCACAAGTTGGGGGGGCAGAGGGAGAGAGAATCTCAAACTGACTCCCCACTGAGTGTGGATCCCTTTGTCATCATCATGGGGCCCCATCTCACAACCCTGAGATCATGACCTGAGGTGAAATCAAGAGTCAGTTGCTTAACTGACTAAGCCACCCAGGCGCCCCCAGATACTGATACTTTTATCTCTTACCATCCAATCCTTACACCTCTTGATTCTTCCAAATTCTTTATTCCATTTGCCAGCATCTCCTATACCAGTAACATTGTCAGAGGTATCCTTGTTTGATCCCACTTTTAAAGGGAGTACATACAGAGTTTCTGCATTAGGTATATTGTTCATTGTAGGTTTTGGTATATCACTTTTAGTAAATTAAGGGTGTCTCATTCTATTTCCAATTTGTTAGGATTTGGGGTTTTTTTAATCATAAATAGGTATTAAACTTTGTTAACTGCTTTTTTTGGCTTTGAGATATTCCCTTGATTTCCCCCCTTTTATTGATGTGCTTAATTACACTGATTGGTTTTCTGATACTCAGTCATCTTTGAATTTCTTTTACAAACTCCACTTGATCATAACATACTATTTTAACTCACTGTTAGATTTGATTAGCTTATATTATATTTAGAGTTTTATATCTATATTGATGTGAAATAGACCTATAATTTTTTCATATGATCTTTGATTTTAGAACAAACCACCTTAGGGAAAATTGTGTTTTTATTTTTGCTGATCTCTTTTCTCAAATTTCCTATAAGTAGGAAGCTTCTATACCCATATAATGAGATTATCAGCCTTCTTTTCCTAATTTCTGGACTCACTTGTATTACATAAGAATTAACTCTTCTGGGATGCCTGGGTGGCTCAGTCAGTTAAGCAACTGGCTTCTGCTCAGGTCATGATCCCAAAGTCCGGGATCGAGTCCCGCATTGGGCTCCTTGCTCAGTGGGGAGCCTGCTTCCTCCTCTGCCTGCTGCTTGTGCACGCTCTCTCACACACAAGTAAATAAATACAATCTTAAAAAAAAATGGGGCACCTGGGTGGCTCAGTGGGTTAAGCCGCTGCCTTCAGCTCGGGTCATGATCCCAGGGTCCTGGGATCGAGCCCCACATTGGGCTCTCTGCTCAGCAGGGAGCCTGCCTCCCCACCTCTCTCTGCCTGCCTCTCTGCCTATTATGTGATCTCTGTCAAATAAATAAATAAAATCTTTAAAAAAAAAAAAAAGAATTAACTCTTCTTTCAAAGTTTGGTAGAATTCGTCCATAAGACCATCTGGGGCCTGAGACTGGGAAGCAGAATGTCACCATTTACATTTTAAAATGTTGATTGGTCTGTTTTGCCAAAGGTGGGAATTCGTGTATGGATGTAAAATCCAGGCCCATCTCCGTCCCTTCATCACAGAGCTTAGCTGGCCCTCTTGTCGTCATTCCTTTACTCCCTGTCCTCCATTTCTACCTTCCAGGCCCACACAGCAGATTCACCTATGAGAGCCCTAAGTGATGTCTGCCCCTCCCCTACAGCAGGTTTTTGGAGCACTCTATCTACATCCTTTACTGAACCCTGCATCTACGTGTACATCTTCACCATTTCTCCTTAATATCCACGTGAGAGCTTTAGCCCTACCCAGAAGGTTATCAGTGTTTGGGGTGAGCCCCAATTAGCTTCTTAGAGTACCTGCTGTTCAGGCTTTTCCAGAGGTGATGAGCTTAGTTTTACTACTTCGCAGACCTTACCAAAATCTCAGAGAGAGCACCTGCCCTTATCACCTGGTTTAAAGTCAGATTCCTCCTGTCCCGTTTCTCTGCCACAACACATGCGGCTTGCTGCCCTCACAGCCTGTAGTTGTCTTGTGTGTTTTTTCTGTCCCTTCCCACAGCGGCTGGGATAGACACTTAATAATGGCAGGGTGTGTCTGCCTTGTACGCCGCTATATCACAGGGCTGCTGGAGCAAAACGCCCACACAAAAGTGCTCAATAAATACTGAATGAATTAAAAAGTCAGGAAACACATATTTCTGCAGGATTTTCTTACAATCATGGGTCCTTCCTGTTCTCTGCATTCTGAATTTTCTTCCTTGGATCAAATCAAAGAGGGTTTCGCTCTCAATGCGGTGTTTTGGTGTCTCCCCAACTTGTCTTCTCTGAACTGTGCTTTGGCGCTGTGCCAACAGCTCTCTTTGGCCAGTGATTACATACAACTGTAGCCACAGAAGAAACATGTCGTATTTAAAGTAGGGATGCCGTCAGGGCACCTGGGTGACTCAGGCAGTCAGGCAGCTGAGTCTTGATTTTGGATCTCGGGGTCCTGGGAGCCTGAGCTCCCGAATCGGGCTCTGAACTCAGTATAGGGTCTGCTTGAGATTCTCTCTCTCTCTCTTCCTCTGCCCCTCCCACCCCTCTCTCTCTAAAAATAAATAATCTTTTAAAAAATAAAACATATTACAATAAAATAAATAAAATCTTTTAAAAAATAAAATATATTACATACGTCTCAAAAAATATACCTATCAGAAAATGTTTTCATAGGATAAAAGTGTCTTAATGGGTTCGTTTTTATTTTTGGCCACTGAGTCCTAAACCTGAATATGTTTCCTCTACTTTGGCCTTAGGAAACTCAGAGCTAGAATTCCAACTGCCGTGTGGAACTACATGAGACTCATTTCTGCAAGCTCTTTTTTTCTTCTGAATCTTTATTTCTTACCAACCCTAACTTTGCCCTGAATATATCAATTATTTATTTTATAGTAAGAGTTTCTCCTGTCTTGAACATCCTCATATGTTCTAGGCAAATTGCATATGTCATCCATTTAATCTTCATAGCAAGCAGCAAGATTAGGACATCGTCTGTCCTTTACAGATGAGGTTAGTACATTTAAGTCACTTGTTTCTGGTCACACAGGTAGCAAGTGGCGAGCCCAGAAGCCGACTGCTCTGACGCCCAGGAACATGCTCCACCTGCTACTCAGGCGGTCTGCAAGGGTGGTCCCCTTATTAAGATACAGGTTCTGGGCACCATTCCCAACCTGCTAAATAAGAACCTCTTTGAGGGGCGCCTGGGTGACTCAGTGGCTAGGTGTCTGCTTTCCACTCAGGTCATGATCTCAGCATCCTGGGATCGAGCTCCAAATCAGGCTCCTTGCTCTGTGGGGAGTCTCTTTCTCCCTCTCCCTCTGCCCCTGCTTGTGTTCCCTCTCTGTCTCAGTCTCTCTCACTGTCAAATAAATAAAATCTTAAAAAAAAAAAAGAGCCTTTTAGTTGTGGGAGGGGCCAGTGACCTACATTTCAACAGGTGTCCCAAGTGACTCTCATGTACCCAAAAGTTCAAGAATTCCTGTACGAACTATATAGCTATATCCCCTCTATTTGTTGAGATACTGCACATAGCTTTTCTGACAGTTTTTCCCTAACCAAACAGATATTACTTTCTGTAAAACATCGAGCCTGTTGTGCTGCTGACCTTGGTTACGTGTAGATACTCAAGCGCGATTATTATTATTCATTCTGCCTGTCTCTTCTGTGGACTGGCCCTAATGAAAGCACAGAGGTACCGAGGAAGAGGTGGGCCGGCATCCCAGGCCACTATGCATAAGGTAACATGAGGCTCAGGACCTTGCTGGAGGGAGAGCTGTCTCCCCTCCTGAGCTTCCAATAGGCCTTCAGACTCCTCAGGGCTCACCCTGCAACCACGAGTTATGAGCCACAGATGGGGAAGGACTTCTGTTTGCTCTAATTTATCCTAATATTTTACATCAGACTGGCCTCTAGCCTTAATGCCATGGGCTGGTGCATCCAGAAGTTAAGACCCGTGTGAGGTCAGTGAGGTTTTAGTACTGTCCTGTGTAGGGAGAAGTTGTAATAGGGGTTTTTATGAACCCTATAACACATAGCCTACCAGTTTCCTCTCCTTCAAGACATTGGGTAACAGCAGGATCTAGGCCCTGGGATGCTTAGAGTGGTCAGAGGCACAGGGCCCTCCCTGGGGCGCTCCAGAGCCCGGCCCCACCCTGTGGCCTGATCAGGGCCCGTCTCGTTGTTGCAGTGCAAGCCACGTGGATGGCCTACGACATGGTGGTGATGCGCACCGACCCCTCGCTGGCAGAGTCCATGCGCCGGCTGGAGGACGCCTTCCTCAACTGCAAGGAGGAGATGGAGAAGAACTGGCAAGAGCTGCTCAATGAGACCAAGCATAAACAGTAGGCCCCTTGCCCACCGCGGCCCCCATGCTGCCCTCAGCCAACGTGGAGAAGCCCCTGAGGCATGGAGCCCTCTCTGCTGGCAGAGGAACGGCGACCAGAATAGATAGCTGTGTGAACCGTACTTGTTTCTCAATAAACTTATTTTTAAGAACACCCTGAGGACCCCTTTCTGTCCTACCCAGCAGCATATCAAACCTTGTGAACAAAAAATGAGAATTCTGAGATGCAGATGCTTTCAATGAATTAAACATACTTAGTGCCAGAAGCACCAAGCATAGAATAAAAAGCCAAAATGGGGCCAGACAGGGACAAACCAGGTCAGAGGGTGGGACAGGCAGCAGTATTCAGGCAGATTTATTTACCTTCCTCTGGTGGACTCCAAAATAGGCAAAGGGGAACATCATTTATTCATTCTGGGCCCTGTGCTGGGTGCTCACATATGTGACCTTAGGTTCTCACAACTCTCCTGAGTAATACGTTCATTATCCCTATTTCACAGATGAGAAGATTGAAATTAGATGTCTCTTCGAAGTCCACAGCTAATAAGAGAAGGAGCTCAGGGGAAACTTGGGTCTCACGCAAGAATCGGGGTTGTTGGGAAGCGAGGCTGGCTTCTAGTGGGGCAGGGCAGATGGGAGAGGCCCCACAGAGGGGCATGAGCCCAAGTGGTCCTGGCCAGGCCCGGGCTGGCCTTACAGGAGGGGCTGCAGTCAGCAGGACCATTTCCGAGACAAGGGTTCTAGGCCTCTGGGGACCAGTCAGACGAAGGAAGGCTATAGAGCTGTTCCCAGGAAGAGCCAAGCCAGGCTCCCAGGGCTTGGGGCAAGGACATTTTCCTGAGGACTTTTCTGTTTCTTGTTTCCCCTTCCCACTCCCTTACAGACTCCTTGCCCAGCTTGGGGCCCTAGGGACAAAATACAGGAAGTGTGACTGTGCTTCTAGCCACCTCCTTGCTCTGCTCAGTGGTCACTCAGCTCCTCCACAAGCCACATCCTGGTCCTTAAGTACAATGCCTCATCAGTCCCTGACTCTCAGAGTCCCAGTAGACCCACAGATGCTTTTCCAGACAGTGTAGCGCTGCAAGTGGGAGCCTGGTGCTGGAGCCCGAGGAGGAGAACCATCCTGGAGGAGGGGCCATGTGAGCCCACTCACGTGTGAGGGCAAGCACCGAGTCATAAAGGCAGGAGACAACATGCTGTGGGGGGAGGTGGGAAAAGGCTTGGGACGCCCAGCAACCAGCTCACGGGTACAAGGAGCCTCAGCTCCCAGGGTGAGAAATCTCTTTTATGGGGTGGGGGATATGGAAGGGGGAAATTATGAGTCTTATACTAGAAAAGGAAAGTCCCAGAAACAATGGCAGAAAGTTCTGGATCCCAGCCATGCGGTCTATGCCCCACGTGTGCCGGACTCCCAGCCCCAGGGTCTCCCTGGAGAGCAGCAGCTCAGAGGGCAGTCTGCAGTGGGTCCGTGGCAGACAGAGTCAGGATGAATGGACAGAGCACCCCCTTACTCCCCAGAGGAAAGGGCTGCAGCTCTCTGGCCTGGAACTGGGCAGTCCCCTCGGAGACCGTAAAGGTGGCCGTGACCTGGTGGTTGAGGCAGTAAATGGTGTTGCCCAGCGTGGTGCAGTGGAGTGGGGCAGGGTCGGGCAGCGGCAAGGAGGCCGCCCGGCTCCAGGAGCCTGTCACCGTGTTGTAGCGCATCACGGCAGCGCCCACGCCGCGCAGCAGGTCGAAGCGGTAGAGGAAGCCTCCCAGCGCCACCATGTCGCTGGAGCGCCGGTGGCTGGCACTGTAGGGGCACTCATCCCACGCGTCCCTCCCAGGGCTGTACCTCAGCAAGCGGTAGAAGAGGTGGCCCCCGGTGACGTAGATGTCCCCACGACAGGCCACAGCCTCATGGGCCACAGGGAAGGTGCCTGCGGGCAGGGGCGCGCGCAGGGTCCAGGTGTCCGTGCGCGGGTCATAGCGCTCCATGCTGTACAAGCACTCGCCACCGATGGCGTAAAGCAGCCCGTCCAGGGCCACCAGCTTGAGCTGGGCGCGGGCCTGCTGCATGGGCCGCACCTGGCTCCAGATGTCGGTCAGGGGGTTGTAGCAGAAGACCTCGTTGGAGCAGACGGCCTTGGCACCGGAGCCTCGAATGCCGCCCGCCAGGAACAGGTAGTTGTGCATGGTGCAGAGACCGCAGCCCCGAAGCGGGGCCTCCTCCGGCACCTGAGTCAGGGGCCGCCAGGTGTTTTCTCGAGGGTTGAACACGTGCAGGTGCGGGCGGGGAGGCGGGGCCGCGGACTCCGCAGCAGGAGCCGCCTCCCCGCAAGGGCCCCTGGCGAGCCCCGAGCGGCTCACCTGGTATAGGCTGGGCAGCACAAGGACCCCCAGCACCGCCTGGCCCCGGCCCGTCCGAAGGCTCAGGATGCGCTCGCGGTCCGCCCCGCTCAGCTGCCGGTAGAGGCTCGGGTCTCCCAGCACGCGCAGCAGGTTGTCGCTCATCAGGGCATAGGTCTCCCGCACCAGGCCGGGCTCCCCGTGCTGCTGGGCGAAGGCCAGGACGTCCAGGCAGGTGCCCAGGTCCAGCCGCCGTGGCAGAGCGGCCGCCGAAGCCGGCTCCCGGGCCAGGCCCCGGCCCCCCCGCCTCTGCAGAAGCCCCGTGAGCTTTCCGGCTTCTTCCCGCTCCTCCCGGAACGGCCCCCCGCTGCCCGCCGCGCCGGGCTGCTCCCCGCGAGCCTCTCCCGGGCGTCTCCGCTGCGCAGCCCGGCCGACCCCGCGCTCGGAGCTCTCGGCTCTTCCGCACGCGCTGCGTCTCCGCGGTCGCGCGACCGGCTGCGAGGCGCCCCTCCCGGGGGCGGAGGGCTCGGGGCCGGGCTGCTTCCGCTCGGGGGGCTGGTCCGGGGCCCGGGGCCTGGCAGCGCCGGGCGGCACAGGGTCTTCTCGCTTCTCCTCGACGGCATCCCCTCTCCGGCCTGAGGTAGGGCCTGGAGCGGGAGCCTCCTTGGTCTCCACGCGGCTCTGCGGCTGCTCACGTCCCGCCTCAGCCAGGCCCCCCGCGTCTGCCCCTGTGACCGGTCCGTCTGAGGAGCCGTCCCTGAGCTCCAGGCTGGGGGCAGCCCCTTCAGGCGGAGAACCAGACTCTCTGTTCTCAGAGGGGGCACCAGTGCTGGGATCTCTAGGGCTCTCGGGAGCTGCCTTTGGGGCTCTCCCTTGGGGTCTGTCTTGCCTGGGGAAAGAGTGACTCCTAAGAACCATGGAAATAAGGTTTTCCCAGCTGGTTGGGATTTGTCCCTCCTGCTTGTCCTTGAGGGCCATGCTGTGCTCCTGTGTCCTAAGCCTTGACCCACTACTGGGGGCAGGGGCTGGGACTGGGGCTGGGACTGGGCTGGGGGCTGGGGCTGGGGCTGGGGCTGGGGTG